GCTCTTTCAGTGCAATTTCTTCATTGTTGTTGTTGTTCTTTTGGCTTCTTTTTGTTTCTTCTCTCTCTCACACTTCTTGCCTTTCCTTTCTCCCACTCAGCTCTTGCTTTGTGCCTTCTCCACACCTTCTTGATGGGCTATGCTGCACCATTTGGCTGGGGAGCCACTTCCCTGGTCTGCACCACCACACTGGAGAGATCCCTCAGAGCATTTTTTTCTTAGTTTCTTGTCTCTCTCTACAATCTTTCCTTTCTTTTCTCCTTACCACTTGGCCATGTGTGCCGTCTCTGCCGATTTTTGCAGGGCAGTGCCACATCACTCAACTGGGCAATCTTTCCTTTCTTTTCTCCTTACCACTTGGCCATGTGTGCCGTCTCTGCCGATTTTTGCAGGGCAGTGCCACATCACTCAACTGGGAAGACACTTCCCCAGTCTGTGTTGCCATGCTAGTGGGCTTCCTTGGGGTATTTATTTTATTTTGTTTTTCTCAGTTTCTTGTTTCTCTCTACCTTCCTTCCTTTCCTTTCTCCCAACCACCTGGCCACTTGAGCCAGCTCTGCCACTTTTTGACAGGCTATGCCACACCACTTGGCTGGGGAGCCACCAGCACATGGCTTCCCCAGTCTGCGCTGTCACACTGGTGGGGCCTCCAAGAGATGACAGAAAATGTAGGCAAAAATAAGGAAAAAACAGACAAAATCATGGAAAAGACAGACAAAACAATGGAATAATTCAGGAAAATAATACAGGAACAAAATGTCAAAATAAACAAACAACTAGAAATCATACAAAAACAGCAATTAGAAATCCGAAAGATAAACAACAAGATTTCAGAAATGGACAGTGCAATAGAAGGTTTTAGAAGCAAATTTGAAACAATGGAAGACAGGATCAGCGAAATTGAAGACAAATCGTCAGATACCACATTGTTTGTGGAAAAATCAGAAAAGAATAAACATAAATGAAGACACCCTGAGAACAATGTGGAATCATCAAAAGCAAAAATTTGCTTGTGATTGGAGTTCCAAAACAAAGAGAAAATGGAAAACACAGACAGGATCATTGAAGATTTGCTGACAGAAAACTTCCCTAATATGGTGAAAGATGAAAAGCTGATCATCCAAAAAGTTCAGCAAACCCCATACAGGATAGACCCCAAAGAAAATCACCAAGATATATCATAATCACACTCACCAAAACCAAAGACAAGGAAAGAATCCTGAAAAGCAGCTCTCAAAAAACAAAAAGTCACATACACAGGGGAAACAATAAGATTAAGCTCTGAGTACTTGACAGAAACCATGCAGGCAAGAAGGCAATGGGATGACATATATAAAACCTTGAAAGAAAAAAAAATTGCCAATCAAGAATAAGGTATCCTGAAAAACTCTCGCCCACATATGATGGCAAAATTAGGACATTTCCAGATAAACAGAAATTAAGGGAATATGTAAAAACCAAACCAAACTTACAAGAATTATTAAAGGGAGTCCTTCAGTTAGGGAACAAACAACATCAGACTACAGCCTAAACCTAGGATGCAAAACTGCATCAGCCCGATACCAATCCAGGTAATGAACTTTCAAGGACAAAACAAAGCAAAAAGATTTACAACAAGGAACCAGAGAAGTTAATCTGTAAATGACAACAATGTCAGAACAATAAAAGAGGGAATAAATTGTGTGGGTATAGAACATTCAAAAGAAGAAGTCAAGGTGATATCAAATAATAAGCTTGGTTCAGACTTAGCAAGATAGGGGTGAATTTCAAGGTAACCACAAAGAAAGTTAATGACATACTCATTAAAATAAAAAAAAAAACAACATAAAATCTCAGTAAACACAAAATCTACAAAAATGAAAGAAAGAAAGAAACAAATCCATAAAAAAAGGAATTTAGCACAGGACAGTAAGAGGAACAGAGAAAATGTCAGTACCAGAAAAAAGCACTATAAAATGACAGCAATAAACACACACCTATCAATAATCACACTGAACTAAAATAGCTTAAATGCACCCATAAAGAGACAGAAAGTGACAGAACGTATTAAAAAAACAGGACCCATCAATATACTGTCTACAAGAGATGCACCTTAGAAACAAAGACATAGATTTTTAAAAAACCAAAGGATGGAAAAAAATGTATCAAGCAAACAGCCACCAAAAAACAGCAGGAGTGGCAATATTAATCTCAGATAAAACAGACTTTAAAACAATATCCACCATAAAAGACAAACAAGGACAATATGTTATATTAAAGGGCCAATCTACCATGAGGACATAACCATAATAAATATCTATGCACCTAATGACAGGGCTCCAAAATACATAAACTCCAACAGCACTGAAAAGAGAAATTGACAATTCCACAATAATAGCAGGAGAGTTCAACACACCATTCTTGGTAAAGGATAGAACATCTAGAAAGAAATTCAACACAGGTACAGAAGATCTAAAGGCCACAATAGGCCAACTTGACCTCATAGACATATATATAACATTCCACCCAACAACAGCAAAGTACATATTCTCATATTCTTTTCCAACGCACATGGAATGTTCTCCAGAATAGACCAAATCTTAGACAACAAAGCAACCCTCAACAAAATCCAAAACATTGAGATAATACAAAGTATCTTCTCTGAACAACACCATCAAAGTAGAAATTAACAACAGGAAGAGAAAGGAAAAAAAAAAATTACATTGAAACTAAATAACACCCTGCTTAAATACCACTGGGTAACAGAAGCAATCAAAGTAGAATCAAAAAATTCCTTGAATCAAATGAGAATGAAAATACATCAGACCAAAACCTTTGGGACACAGCAAAGGCAGTCCTCAGAGGACAGTTTATAGCAATAGATGCACACATCAAAAAAGAAGAAAGGGACAAAATCAAAACCTTAGCTACACAACTCAAACGAATAGAAAGAGAAAAACCAAAGAAACCTACAGCCATCAGAAGAAAGGAAATAATAACGATCAGAGCAGAAATAAATGAAATAGAGAATAGAAAAACAGTAGAAAGAATTAACAAAACCAAAAGTTGGTTCTTTGAAAGAGTCAACAAAATCGACAAACCACTGGCCAGACTGACAGAAGAAAAACAGGAGAGGACGCAAATAACCCAAATAAGAAATGAAATGGGTGACATTACAACAGACCCAATTGAAATAAAAAGTATCATAACAGAGTATTATGAAAAACTATTCTCCAACAAAGTTGAAAATCTAGAGGAAGTGGACAAATTTGTAGAAACACACTACCTACCCAAACTAACACAAACTGAAGTTGAAAGTCTGAACAGACCCATAACAAAAGGAAAGATTGAAAAGTTAATTAAAAAAAAAAAAAAAAACTTCAACAAAAAAAAAGCCCTGGCCCAGATGGCTTCACTGGAGAATTCTACGAGACATTCAGAGATCTTACACCAGTACTACTCAAACTATTTCAGAATATAGAAAAGGAAGGGATACTTCCGAATTCATTCTATGAAGCCAGCATAACCCTGATACCAAAACCAGGCAAAGATGTCACAGTGTCATGGATTGAATTGTGTCCCCTCAAAATATCTGTCAACTTGGCTAGGTCGTGATTCCCAGTATTGTATGATTGTCTACCATTTTATCATCTGATGTGATTTTCCTGTGTGTTGTAAATGCTATCACTATGATGTAGTAAGATGGATTATCGGCAGTTATATTGATGTCTACAAGATTAGATAGTGTCTTAAGCCAATCTCTTTTGAGATATAAAAGAGAGAAATGAGCAGAGAGACATAGGAACCTCATACCACCGAAAGCAGTGCCAGGAACAGAGGCTATCCTTTGAATCTGAGGTTCCTGAACAGAGAAGCTCCTAGACCAAGTGAAGATTGATGACATGGACCTTCCTCCAGAGCCGACAGAGAAGGCCTTCCCCTGTAGCTGATGCCCGGAATTTGGACTTGTAGCCTACTAGATTGTGAGAGAATAAATTTCTCCTTGTTAAAGCCATCCACTTGTGGTATTTCTGTTATAGCTGCACTAAATGACTAAGACACTCAGCATACAGACTGAATAAATATGGTGAAAGGATACAACCTTGATGCACACCTTTCTTGACTTTGAACCACGCAGCATCCCCTTGTTCTGTTTGAACGACTGCCTCTTGGTCTATGTACAGGTTCCTCATGAGCACAATTTAGTGTTCTGAAATCTCCAGTCTTCGTAATGTTATCAATAATTTGTTATGAGCCACATAGTTGAATGCCTTGGCATAGTCAGTAAAACACAGGTAAACATCTTTGTGGCATCCTTCCTATTTAGGATAGGTAAGGTATTAAAAAAAAAAAGAACTAAAAAACAAAAATATAGTGTAATATTTTGATACACTTGATTAATTTAAAATTAAGAACCTCTATTCATCAAAGAGGATAGTGATGGTTCAGTGGTATAATTCTCACCTAATGTGTAGGAGACTTGGGTTTGGTTCCCAGCAAAGGAATCTCATGCACATCAAATATTCAACTGTCAATGGAAGCTTGCATGTTGCTATGATCCTCAATAGGTTTCTACGGAGCTACCAGACTAAGACAGACTAGGAAGAAAGGTCTAGCAATCTATTTCCCAAAAATCAGCCAATGATAACACTATGGATCACAAAGATCAGATCTGTTGTACATTGGGTCACCATAAATTGGGGGCTGACTTGATGGCAGCTCTTAACAGCTGCTACATTCATCAAAAGTCTATACACACACACACAAATACACAAAATGCAGGTTATAAACTGGGAGAAAATATATGGAACAAATATAAATTTCAAAATAATCTTTAAAGCCTTTGAATCAATGAGAGAAAGTCAAAGAACTAAATAGAAAATGGACAAAAAGGCACAAATAGGCATTTCACAGAATAAGGAACACAAGGGTCCCAAAAATATATGAATCATTTCACAAATTTTTATTAAGGAAAAATAAAAATTATGTTCACAATGAGATACCATTTTATACCTTTCAGTTTTACACAATTAAAAAAAAAAGTCAATCAATAGGTATTATTGGCAAGGATCTGGAGTAAGGGAACTCTCATTGACTGGTTGAGGTGGAAACTGGTACAACCACTTTGGAAAACAGTTTGAGATTACATAGTAAACTTAGACTTGTGTGTTCCCTATGACCCAGTATTTTCACATATATATGTCCTAGACAAACTTTTGCACATGTGTGCCAGAATACTCATAGCATCATCATTGCAATAGTAAAATATTTGGCACAACCCAAATGTTCTACAGTAGCAGAGTAATTGCTAACTCCAATTATATAATAGAATGCTGTGCAGCAATGAAAGGAATGAACAGCTGCATACAACAAGTGGATGAATCACACAAAAAAAATGATGTTGAGCAAAAGAAGCTGAGGAATATATGTATAGTATGATAATTCCATTCATACACAGACAAAATTATATATTTTTATTGATAAGTGTGTAACTGTAAAACTTTAAAGAAAGTAAGGAAATGATTAACACAAAATATAGTTCAGTGGTTATCCCTGGATTTGAGGAGGGATTTGAGGGTGTTGTCTGAGAATGTCATGAAGGTAGTTTCTAAATGCTCTATTTCTTAAACTAACTGGTAAGTACATAGGTGCTGATTCTTCTTTGAATGATCAGTACCTATAATTTCATACAATTTTAATGTGATTAGTATGAAATATTTTAGAAAATAAACCTATACATTTTCTCTTACTTAACCATAAAATTCATATGCTTCAGATCTTTTTCTCATTGTATCATCTATTTGTCTTTCACAGAATTTATAATTATTTACTTGAGTGTTTACTTGTTGAATATTTGTTCTTCCACTAAGCTACGTGTTCTAGGAGAGCTGAAGCCATGTCTGTTGTGTTCAGCATCATTTGTTTAAAAATGATTCATTGTATCTGAAGTCAAGAATGGTCCTAGTTTAGGGTTTTGAGCATGCTTCCATTTGTGAAAATGAGTGTCACCAAAAGATGGAGTGGGAAGCTACCCTAAAGCCACTGTATGATCACTCAATTAAACAAAATAACATGTAAAGAGTTTAGCACAGTACCTTGTACCTGGTACCAAAAAACCAAACCCATTGCTGTCGAGTCGATTTCAACTCACAGCGACCCTATAAGGCAGAGTACAGCTGCCCTATAGGGTTTCCAAGGAGCAACTAGCGCATTCAAACTGCCTACTTTTTGGTTAGCAGCTGAGCTCTTAACCACTGCATCATCAGAGTACATGGTAAGAATTTGATAAATGTCAGTAGTTGCTAGTGTTGGTAGGGGTTGGTGTTGGAGTTCCTTATCTTTTTATTCATCTCTACCATCAAATCTAGTTGTCTAAGTCAGTTTGTTTTGTTCAAATCTGTTTAATCAGGAGCCATAATTATGTCGCATTCACTTTTTCTTGCTGCTCATGTATACAAACATAGACTACTTTGCCAATTCAATAATACAGGTTGTGGCATCAACAACTGAAAGCTGGGAAGTCCAACAGAGCTAGTTTAACTTTAGTTGTCATAGTGGATCAGAAAGGTCCACAGATTCAGAATGAAGAAATCAGAGAGATGAGGCTCTTTTTCCTAAATCTTTAAATCCTTAATCACAAGTACCTTGGGGTGATTTATTTCACTGCTTTGGAAACAGAGAAATATTTAAACTCTTGCATTAAAGAAAGCCCCCTAAAAACAAACAAAAACAATGAAAGATTATGATAACAAATAAAAGAACATCCTTGAAAAGTGTGGATTAGGACCCAAGTGTGGGTGGGGAAACTGAACAGCCATAAGGATCCCTAAGGGTCACAGACTCAGAAAAATGTTAGATATTTCGGTAAACTGTGCAATTCATCCCCAGTTAGGGGCAGCCAATTTTGAAGTACTTCTATTAATTAAAAGTCAGGTAATAACAATAACTATGACAGATTTCAGTACGATTTACGCAAGTTGTTCTAAAAAACACTACGAATTTTTGGTTTCCGCAGCATCAAGTATAGAGATGAGTAGACTGACAAATTTATAAACATCATGGAAAGAATTGTAGAGAGGAACTGGAGCCACTCGAATGCCATTTGGTTCCCTCTTGTCACACTAAGGGGAGGGAAATAAAGCCGCAATAATGTTAACATTATTCACATAATGAAAATCTACATTCAAAATAAAGTTAAAGTATTCATGCTGATTTCCCTAAAACTTAATACATAAGGAAAGAAATTTTCACTTTAAGTAAAACAGTGTTTTTGAAAATTTCCTCTTACTAGTAATAAAAATACTAATGGATTGGTACACGAATATCCAAATATTCCTGACGTCCTCAGCAGTTACTAACTTTAAGCTTCCAAAGATCATATATAAAATTTGGATGGGGGAGGTCCTAGAGGGACTTGAACCCTTGGACAAACTTCAGTGAATGAGAACGCTGAGATTGGGAGAGTTTTAGCCAATTATCTTTACGTTTAATTCTCTAATTTCTAATCTTGTAGGTGAGGAGTTGGTGATATCCCTGGAAATGCTGAGAGGTCCAGAAGTAAGACTAGAGAATTTGGCCTAGCCTGAAGACTACCTCTGGATAGCTTCATAAAACACCTACTACAGGCTAAACAATATAATCCATTGTCATTGAGTTGATTCTGACTCATAGCGACCCTACAGGACAGAGTACAACTGTCCCATAGGGTTTCCAAGGAACAGCTGAAGGAGCAGCTGATGGATTCGAACTGCCAACCTTTTGGTTAACAGCCAAGCTTTTAACCAGTTCGCCACCAGGGCTCCTCAACAATAGGGTACATGGTTTATATATGCTGTCCCATTTAATTCCCATTACAATTCTTTGAGGTAAGTATATTTATGCCCAAAATGCACATGAGAAATCTCAAGCTGGTAGATGTTAGGTAACTTTTCCAAGAACGTAAAACTTGGAAATGACACACTTCATTTGAGTCCTGATATTCTGACTTGTGCCTCCTGAATCTAGGTTAACCTCTTCTAAAGGTTTGGATGAAACAGTCTGTAAATTACATCGCCATTGGAATAATTTCTCCTGAAATTACTCAGCTAACATTTATTAGTTCTTTTGACGAGACTAAGAAGGCCACCTGAGCCCAAGAGTTAAAAAAAAATTATTCCATGTAATGTTACCACCACTTAGATGTGTCTACATGTCTTTTTTGTATTAAGTGACAAGGCTGATGACAACTTAGTTCAATTAAACAAGTAAATAAGACTGATTTTTTTTCCTTTCACTAAATTGATATACTGCTTAATCCCATTTAGTCAATAAACATACTGGAATTTTCACTAGTGAAAATCATGTACTAATTGAGTATAGTTACATATTTTGTCTTCTGCCTCAATTGTTATGAGAAGAGTGAATGCTACCCAAAACTGTTTCCTGTAACCAAAATTTATGATTTTCCTTTATTGGAAATGACAGCTCTTGGTGCCCGTCAACTTGCACAGTGTTGAATATTTAGTTGGTCCTTAACTCATACTCACTGATTGTTGATTGATGTGAAATAATATGCAACAGTGAATAAACCAAAGAATCTAAATTTTGTCCCCAACACTGCAACCCATGGAGAAAACCTGGCAGCAAAGCAAAAGATGTACTTACAACCACTCCTCTTTTTTCTAGTTCTTGAAAAACATATTTCACTGGAGCAGAAAATGTTAGTGTTAGCTGGCAGCCCCGTTCTTCTATATGCGGTGGAGTAATTATGTTCACAATAGGTTTCTTGCTTTCTGCTTTATCTTTGTTATAGTAATGCTTGATCATGTACTCCAGATAACCAGTTAGCAAAATAGATTTTCTCCTCAATGCTTTCACAGTTGCTTGATTAAAAATCTGCAGAATGAAAAGCAAATAGATTAACATTGCAAAAATTAACTGTAAATTATGCATAAAAAATTAAAATGACCACTTTTCACCTTTCCAATGAACTCCCATTTTAGATTTTTCTTTAAAAAAAAAATACCGCCTTTTTAAATGCTTTACCATTACAAACTGAAAGCAAAGTTCCCATGACAGAAGAACTGTACAAATGTCGTTTAAACAATACTTGCAAAAGAAGGAGGAAGAAAAAAAAGTTATCATGGTGTCACTTCAGTTATTTTGCTTAATATAATCACCAGGCAAAACACACTGTAATAAATGCATTTGACTATCATAAATTTAAACATTTTTCCCCAAAAACTATTCCATAAAATCATAATCAAGAAGACTTTTTTCCTATTCTAATGTAAATTTTTGTTAAGTCCACAAATAGTGCAATGCAAACTAAAACCAAAAAAAAAAAAAAAAAAAGAACACCAAACTCATTGCCATCGAGTCAATTCCAACTCACAGTGACCCTATAGGAGAGAGGAGAACTGTCCCACAGGGTTTCCAAGGATTCAAACTGCCAACCTTTTGGTTAGCAGCCAAGCTCTTTAACCACTGCACCACCAGGGCCCCAACACAGGTGCATACATGGAAGACACTGTTTCCAATATTATTTGTGATTGTTTTTTATCAATTCCTAAATCTTCTCCAGTTTAATATGAAGAAAACAGTAGTTAAATGATAAAGCCAAATCATCGTGTACAGAGAAGCAAGTAACTCCTACTTAATACATCTATTATTGTATTGCACTGTCTTGTTAGTTACCATCAAGTGGATTCCAACTCATGGCAATCCCATATGTGCAGAGCAGAACTTTATAGAGTTTTCAAGGCTGTAACCTTCTGGAAGCAGATGACCAGGCTTGTCATTTGAGGTGCCTCTGGATGGGTTCGAACCCCCAACCTTTTGGCTTGCAGTCCTGTGCTTAACCGTTTGCACCATCCAGGGATTCCACATCTATTATTACTGAAGTATTTTTCCTTCTTTCTTCCCTCTCTCCCTCCTCCCTCTCTCTCATTTTTTAATCTACTAAACTCTAACTTTGGCATGAAAATGCTGGCACTTGCTGCCGGAGGTGCTTTATAGAAAGATGAGTGGCAAGGGCACACAATAACTAGCGCTGGGACATTAGAGGTCAGAACAGACATGCTTTTCTAGCTTAAGGTCTCTCTTAAGGTCAAGTAGAGTTTAAAAATATATCCTACACCTTAGAACTGAATGAACTGCAAACAGAGCATGATGCATGGTGTTTTAGTCATCTAGTGCTGCCATAACAGAAATACCACAAGTGGATGGTTTTAACGAAGAGAAGTTTATTTCCTCACAGTCAAAGTAGGCTAAAAGTCCAAATTCAGGACATCAGCTCCAGGGGAAGGCTTTTTCTCTCTGTCAGACTTCTTCTCTTCGGTGTTCTCCTGGACTAGGAGCTTCTCTGCACAGGGACCCCAGTGCAAAGGATGCGCTCTGCTTCCGGCACTGCTTTCTTGAGGGTATGAGGCCCCCCTGTCTCACCGCTCACTTCTGTCTTTTATATCTCAAGAGATTGCCTCAGGACACAATCCAGTCATGTAGATCAGGTCCTGCCTTACTAACACAACTGCCAACCACCCATCGTCCCTCATCAACATCGTAGAGGCAGGTTTACAACATACAGGAAAATCACACAGTACCAGGAATCATGGCCTAGCCAAACTGATACACACATTTTTGGGGGGACATAATTCCAACCATGACACATGGCATGCCCCTTAATGTCCATTTTCTGTATCATCTTATACCACAGATAACGATAGGGTTGTTCAGGGATATCTAGACACTATGAAGTCTATGAGGATAGTTAGTTCCGTATGCATGCGTGACATGCGTGTGTATGAATTCTAACAGGACTCAAACAGGAGCTCACAATCTGTTTGCATCTTATGAAGGAGTGAGCTCGGAGCGTTCAGGCATGGATTTTGCTTAAACTCTACTGCACGGAGGCTATGGATTTGGTTGAAGGACAGCGTGGGAGTTGTATTTAAGGTAATGGTATCTAAGGAAGAGAGGAGAAATGCAGAAGGCAGAATGGTATCTGTCTCTCCAATCACACCTCGCAGACTGTCAAGTGTGCAAACAGATCAGCTGCAAGTAGCGAGTGCCATTATTGTTTTGGGAAACATCTAGGATCTGCAGTGCAAACACAATTTTTCAGAAACCAGGCACACCAGGTTACATGGGGTTTGGTGGGAGATATCTCTTCATTTCCTTGTGTAAAACAAAATGTAGGTAGATCTGGTACAATGCAGACTCAAGGAAACACAGCTGGGTTTTGGCATCCAGGAGACCAGGGCAAAGAATCAATATTCTTGCAAAGGGCAGAGGTAGGGACAGACAAGGCATAGCCTGCAGGTGGTTGGCTGTCAGAGGGCACCAATAAAGTGATAGGAATAAAAGGAATGTGAGAGAAATCTTCCCAAGATTCTCTCAGGAGATTTTTCAGAAACAATTCTAGGAAATTTTCTGCTTCCACTATGTTTCTGTGTGCCATTGAATCTGAATTCGATTCATATTGATCCTAATGACAGAGTAGAACTGCCCCATACGGTTTCCTAGGCTATAATCCTTATGGGAGCAGATTGCCAGGTCTTTTCTCCCATGGAGTGGCTGGTGGGTTCTAACCGCAGACCTTTCAATTAGCAGCCAGGAGTCATAGTATACAGGTAGGGACAATGTGTGAAGTATTATGTCTAATGTAATTTCATTTGTGTTTATAGGTTTGTAGTTTTATAAAAAGGTGTTTTGCTCTTAGAGATTTCTCATGATAACTAGAAACCAACATTTTTAATAACAAATAATTTCAATTTCAATATATCATGGAATATTGAACTTTTAATAATAAAGTCATTTTCAAATATAAAACTATTTTTCTCCTAATAACCACAACAACGACAGCTCTATTCTCAGCTCTCTTAAATTCTTCTCATAGAGTGTAAAATTCCATTCTGAGCCTCATACAAAAATATTAACAGAGGATAATCGAGGTTAAAAGGGAAATAAAATATCTTCTTTTCTTTTTTGCTTCTCATTGTTTCTATGTTTTCAGTACTGTGAAAGAATCGTTTTAAAAAATTAGAAAAAAATAAAAAGTGTAGTTTGAAAAATATTCAGTTTATCACAGAATTCTTGGCAGAGGTTCAAGGACTTGGGTTATTTTCCTTACTGAGTAAAACGAATACAGAGCTAGAAAACTGTGATAAGTTTAAAAAGAAAAAGTAGTATGATGTTTTCGGTTGTTTTTTTTTTTTTCTTTTAAGTTCTTTAAACTGGTTCCTTAATAATTTTCAGAGGAAATACATGGTGCATTTTAAGTGAATGCTCTAGTTTGGTGTTGTGAGGCTATTTATCATAGATATATTTACTGAAAGAGTATAAAAAATTATCTATCTATTGCCGCATACCAATGTGAACATTCAAAATACCATGTATGGATTGTTTATTTCAGATAGGTAATAGGAAAGTTGAGGGACTTCAGAAGTACTCTGATCCATTTAAAAAATGAGGCAAATGAATTCGAGAGTAGCTGTGTCTCATGTCAGGTCCCACTGGGTGTCCCAGTGAAGGCTAGAGCACTTGTCTCCTAGTTCTTAGCCCGTTGCCCTTTCCCTTGCGCACATATTATTGTATAAATGATTAATATTCAACAATATTAAAAAAAGGAGATTTTGAAACTGACTATAGGGTGCTATTTTTAATGGTACCAAGTGATGTTTGCGCATGTAATTGTGAAGAAAGTAGTATTAATATCTTCTAAAAAACCATTGTATTGTCAATCTGAGGTCGTGTTCATGAATAATTCTTAAGTGTAAAATCTCTCCTGCAGTTGGTATTTGACTCCAAGTATATTACGTAGGAATATTTTTCAAAAAACAAGTAGAGACAACTAAGAGAGGCATTTGTTTCGTGCATTTATTTCTTTCATTTACCAGAACTTCAACCACATATCCTCAAAGCAATAACTGTTTAAACAGACCATGTAACTACTTGGTTAATTCACTGATGCTTACTCATTTAGAGGAAGGCTTAGAAATGTCAAGAAAGTAGAACATTTTAACAGTCAGAGAATGGGGAACAATTAAATGTATTATTTTGTAACTTTATATTTTACCATTTATAAGGAGGAGGAAGAAGTTTGAAAAACACTTTCTCCAGCATAAGGCTTAATTTAGTAAAGATAATTTCGATTAGAACATCACTTCAGCAGCAAACACCTTAAGTAAAATATTTCTTAAAGAGCCTCCAAATCCATTGCCATTGATTGGGTTGATTTCAACTCATAGTGATCCTATAGGACAGGGTAGAGCTCCCCCATAAGGATTCTGAGCAGCGGCTGGTGGATTCGAACTGCCGACCTTTTGGTTAGCAGCCGAGCTCTTAACCACTGCGCCACCAGGGCTCCAGGGAAATGTATATTCCTCTTCGTGCGGCTTTCAGGCTCCTTTTGCTAGGTTTACATTTAGGTATTCAAGAGAAAAAGTAAATCAGTCTCCAGTTTCTAGCTGAGAATAAAAATCTTGTTTAGGTGACTATAATACAGTGTGGTAAAAAATTAGTGGTAGAAAAAATAAGAACCTGGCACCTTTCCCACGACAGAGGGAGTAAATGCTGTAAGAAAAAGCCAACCCGCTATAGGTAATATACCACACAGCGGACGTGTCTAGAAAGAATTTCTAGATAAGGCTGAGGAGTCATTTACAGAGTTAAGGAAGATCAGAGGAAATAACTTCCAGCATTAGCCCTTCTTAAGCTATGTCTTGGTGCCTTTCATATTGTAACGCATCTTCTCCCTGATACAAACTTGCAAAATAAGCAGAAACTTCATTTTGTGTTAAAATGTTTAAATAGTGTTGTCCTGGATGTAGATTATAAAAATAATTCAATATCATTTACCTAATTTATTAAGAATATTTTTCATCCCCCAAAAAACTTGCAGCAAATGTTTGACTGGTTGAAAAATCTTATCACTGGGTCTATTTTCAACTTAGAAACAAACAAACAAAAAATTGCCAAAAAGTGAAAGCAGCACAAGCACCATCTAGTGGTCAAGCTGGGTAAGTTGGGTGAATGAAATGAGTTCATTACCACTGCCTGATGGTGAAGCTGTGTAAAAAGAGAGGAGCTTGACACTGCCACCCAGTGGCCAAAAATGAGACACTGCTATGAGCTTTCACAGAAATCTAAAATTTTAGCTTTGAAAGGGATTTTGAAAGTATTTGTCCAGTCATCCATTTAATGCTGGAATCCTCCACAGCAACATTTCCTAAAATATCATACTCTAAATAATTTTAGGAGGCAATGAATAAAAAAATTGTTTGCTTATTTTAATATTTATGTCTTTAAAATCATTAATAGCGCTTAGGGGTTAACCTGAAGATCGGAGTTGAACCCACCAGCTGCTATACAGAAAATGTGGCAGTCTGTGTCCCTCAAGATTTACAGCCTTGGAAACCCTATGGGGCAGTTCTACTCTGCCCTATAGGGTTGCTATGAGTTGGAATCGACTGGACAGCAATGAGGTTTAATAGAAGTAAATGCATGTTTACTTAAAATATAAATTTTACTTAAATACATGAATATAAAATATATATCTACTTAATATATGGATTAATATTATTCTGAACTATATATCATTATTAATAATATATATTTACTTAAATAAATTTAGTCTCACCCTGAAAGTAATATCCAAATAACTACATACATATGTAACGAAGATATGGATATAAATAGGTATCTAGATAGATTTAGTTAGCAGCCGAGCTCTTAACCACTGTGCCACCAAGGCTCCATAGATAGATATAGATAGCAAACTAAACTGATCACTTGGATCTTATTATTCAGAGTGAGACTAAACTTACTTAAGGAAAAATGCGGATAGATTTTAAAAAAATGGTTAACTCAGTAATAGTAGAGCTTACACAGGGATATACTAACATAAAAGTCCCAGTTAAAGAACAAGAGCAAACAAATGAAAAAACAACCAGTATATCTCATGAGACAACTACGCTTAATCTTTGGTTTTCTAAGATTATTTGTTTTTTCTTAAAGTAAGTCTTCCTATGGCTTCTTCATGTGGAACTTGGTCAGTTCATCGCTTTGTCTCATGGTAAAAATAATAAATAATAAAGTCTTTCTGGAGTCCCCAGAATCACAACAATGTCTGGCACATGATAACAATCTCAAATACATGTTGAACAACTAAATTAATGAAGAATTAAATACTACCTGCTAATTTTGTACATACAGAGACCAAGGGAACGTTAAAGAATTTATTACAAGTTCACACAGATTCTGAGTGGAACTCAAAATGTGGTTCCCCAGATCAGTTCCATTTAACATTTACTGTGCCAACAATGTGCCAAGCATCGTGCTTGGAGCTGGAGAGATATATAAACAGTGAAGATCAGCACACAGTCACTGTCCTAAAGAAGAACACTGCCCCCTGCTCATTACTCAGGCGCAGTGCACGTTCATCATCCTGCTGATTCGCAGAGAAAATACCGTCAGAATCAGATAAAGGCAAAGGTATGGGAAGATTGAAGCACCGGTCACTTACCTCTAAACTAGCGTGTAAGGAACAGACCAACAAAATGGGAGGATTTGAAATACGGAATCCATTGGCACCAGGGATTAACTGGAGTTCTGAAAAGTTAATGTCGTATTATTCTTATAAAATATACCCAAAAAAAGTGTCCACAGAGAGAGAAAAAACAGGGAGTCTTAAAAACTTTTATTCCTAGAATTTCTGAGATGTTTAAGAGAAACTCCATGGAGCTAAAATACTGTCGTATTTCCTTTTCACCTGCAATGCCCATCTCCCCTGCTCCCATCTTCCCAGCAGCACACCAAACATCAGAGCCCTTAAACTCAGGATAAAAACGGGCTCCTCTGGAATCTTTTCTGGCCCTCCCATTCCCAAGCCAGTATTCTTTGTTCTGCCCCATGCTTTGCTTTTCTATTATGAAATCATGTCAACAAGAGACAGCATCAAGATTTGAATGGCTTGGGTGGGAGGTGTTATTTGTAATGCCATCCAATGGCAGAAAAATGAATGCAATGACCTATGAAGCTGACTTTAAACTCTAGGATTATTCGATCAAGTGGCTTTCTTCAGGAAAAAAAAAAACTTGAATCACTCAATGCACATGTTCACAGCTGAGGTTGAACGAAGCTGGTTCCGTATTCACTAATTCAATGTTCCCAGCGATTATATAACATAACTACCACGCATAAGGAGACTCAACTGTACTATCCTAACTAGAATTAAGTAGATTAAATAGTAGGAAATTAAACACAATAGGGTTAAGATGGATAATTACAGATCAAGTGAAAGTTAAGGCTGACTAAAAGAATCTTACAACATTCTGGGTCCTTAGAGACTTACCTAAGCCAGGAATAGTCAAACAATGGTCTGCTGGCCAAATTCAGCCCACCACCTGTCTTTGTAAAGTTTTATTGGAATATAGCCACACTCTTTCATTTACATATTATCTATGGCTGCTTTAGCACTACATTGGCAGGGTTGAGAATTTGCCACAGAGACTGTACAGCCTGAAAAGCTTAAAATATTTCCTATCTTGTCTTTTACAGAAAGTTTGCCCACCCCTGATCTAATTCGATTCCTTCATTTACAGATGAGAAAACCTATCTCAAAGTAGTTAAGTAACTTACACAATAGCAAAGCTAATTATTTCAGCAGCCAAAGTAAAATACAGTGTCCTCACTTGACTGGAAGAGCCCAACTTGATTTTTTGCATCCTGATTGTTGCAAGTCTACATATATTTAAAATAGTATCTCAGGGCTGGAAACAATCTGAAGGATCAGGGTTAAGCTAAACTCACAAAAGCAATTATGATGCTTTCTTTATTGCTTGTGATTGAGGAATAGAGTCATCCTGGAAAAAGAAGTAGGGCAACTTAAGAGCCCTCCACATGGTGTACCCATTTATACCCACTAGGGTTTAACCATGTATAAGGATTATTACACTCTTTGGTATGTGGCAATAGCTACAGACGGAGAAACTTTGGGGCAAGACAAGGGAAAAATGAGTATTAAAGTACTGCTATGTGCTACATGGTTTACATTTTTGAACTTGTCTTATCCTCACAACAAACCCTGAGATAGATATCATTGTTCACATTTGAATGCTATAACTTGCACACAATCACAAAACTATTAAGCAGCAAACTGGGAATTATACCCAAGTTTCTCTGGGTCTGACGCGAAGCCAAAAATCCCCTCCTGTCCCTAAGCACGATGTTTTGGGTACTCCATATTTATGAGAGCTGAGTAATTCACATGCCTGTTAGATTTCACTCCCTCTTATCTCTATACAAAGGAATAGACTCAAAGTCATGTAAAAATCTAGAAACACTTAGTCTTACACTCTGGAAATGTCATTTTTTATTTTAAGAGTTCTCAGTGACATTTTCAAAGTGCACTCTCCATGGGGCATGTGGTATTACATATATTACAAAGATAGAAGAAAGTAGAAAGTTAAAATAAAGTGATTTGTGAGGTAAAATTGAATATACTTACTGTTATCCATTTTAAATCTGGTGTTGAGTTCATGGCCAAACCATCCCACTAACCTGAAATATTAATAAAAACATTGGATATTTTGGTCTACAGGAATAACTTCAATTAATATAAGTACTTGGGGCCTGCATGTTAAAACTATTTGTGGTGCAAGTCATCAAATACTTAAAGCAGATAAATGCTACATGATATAATAGCCAATTACTGCTTATAATCCTATCAAGAATAATAATAAAAATAATTTATCCATATTATTAGCTGTATTATTTTTGTGAAGTAAAATCCTCTAAAAAGCTACATTTAAAGTGACTTTTATCTTATTTGAGTTAAAATAAATCATAAAATGAAAGATTGGGTTTTTTTAAATTAAAATGCTGATAGAATAAAAGGATAAAGTGATTCATACAATAATATTATTTTTACAGTAATATCCCTAAAGAGAAATGTTACTTAAAAAAAAAACCATCACTTTTAAAAGCTTTTGAATGAATTTCCCAAAGCATTGGCTACTTTCATATTGCTAATAAGAATGTTAATTGACTAGACATAAAATATATAGGAAAAAATATGCATATGTGTATGTGCATATTAGATGAAGAAAACTACAGAATAGTTTAGAGAAAAATATAAAAATTTGAGAAAGAGAAACACAATGTTCCTGATATTCAACTTTCTCTAAATACATTTTTGGTTTTAATGCTTTCAAAAGAAAAATTTCAAGGCCCTTTTTTGGGACTGGGCAAATTTTTTAAAACTTTATATGGAATATATTTTTTATACTTTTTGAAATAGAAAAGTATAAAGAGGAGTTTGGTTTACAAGATATAGCATATTATAAAGTGCATTAAATGAAAGAGCTAGTAAAAGAAGCCCACCTCCCCCTTCCCCATCCCTCATAGGTTCCTCTTGCTGAAATGCTGAGACTGGGTACAACTCTGCAGAGGGAAGTAAAGAAAAGAAACAGGACAGAGTTGTGAAAAGCCCAAGTGATGAAATATCTAAGAACTGCCGGTAAAATATACTTTATGAAGTGAAGAGAAGATGCTCAATTTGTACATAAAAAGCTATATCCTTGATGCAACCATGGAAATAGAACAGGGGTGAGCAGGGCCGTTTTCAGAAGTGCTCTTTTATCAGGTCTCCCGCAGAAAGGGAAAGGGGATATAGCCATATAAAAGAATCAAGAATCAAGAGGAGCCCTAAGAGTTGGAAGCAGCCAGTGTGTTTGGCGGCAGAGAAGGAGAAATCTGAGTCTGTCCTCACCCTTCCCTTAACCTGCCTACATTGTCGTTAGCTGCCATGGTGTAGCTGAACTCATGGTGGCCCCATGAACAATGAAATGAAACATTGCCCAGTCCTGTCCCAGTCTTATTGTTGGTTGCAGATCAGACCGTTGTGATCCATAGAGTTTTCACTGCTCGATTTTTCGAAGTAAATCACCAGGTCTTGCTTCCTAGTTTGTCTTAGTCTGGAAGCTCCTCTGAAACCTGTTTGGTATCATAGCAACGTGTAAGCCTCCACTGACAGTTGATGGCTGCACATGAGATTCAAGGAGCAATAGAAACATTTTGTGTAGGAAGTTTTATTAACCTCTCTCAGTCCATTGCAGATGAAGAGGACAAAGTTATTCATTATATAGGCAGACTTAACACAATCAAGAAGATAAAAATAACTGATAAATGTTTAATGCTGAACCTTGGAAATAAAGATTATAACGTCTTTAGAAGCATTCATAAAAAATTAACAAAAACTAACTATACAAAAACTCTAATATTTCCAAAGTGAATATATTATGGACTATATTTTTTATAAATCATAACAATGGGACCAATAAGCAACTTCATGATAAACACAAAAAATATTGAAGTTGTCAAGGATTTCATTTTACTTGTACCCACAATCAATGTCCATGGAAGCAACAGTCAAAAAATTAAACAACATATTGCATTGGGCAAATCTGCTACAAAAAAACCTCTTCAAAGGGTTAATAGCAAAGATTTCACTTTGAAGACTACGGTGAACCTGACCCAAGCCATGGTATTTTCAATACCCTCATATGCATGCAAAGGCTGGACAACGAACAAGGAAGACTGAAGAAGAATTGATGCCTCGGAATTATGATGTTGGTGAAGGATATTGAATATACAAGGGACTTCAAGAAGAACAAACAGGTCTGTCTTGGAAAAAGTACAGAGTGCTCCTTAGAAGGAGGGATGGTGAGACTTCATCTCACGTACTTTGGAAATGTTATCAGGAGGGACCAGTCTCTGGAGAAGGACATCATGTTTGGTAAAGTAGAGGATCAGTGAAAAAGAAGAAGACTTTCAATGAGATGGATTGACACAGTGGCTGCAACAATGGGCTCAAACATAGCAACGATTGTGAGGATGGCACAGGATCAGGCAGTGTTTTGTTCTGTTGCACATAGGGTCACTGTGAGTCGCAACCAACTTGACAGCACATAACAACAACAACATATTTTTTTTTAAGTGTGCTTTAGATGGAAGTTTACAGAGCAAATTAGTTTCTCATTTAACAATTAATACATATTTTGTTTTGTGACATTGGTTGCCAACCCCACAACATGTCAACACTCTCCCCTTCTTGACCTTGAGTTCCTCATTATCAGCTTTCCTGTTCCCTCCTGCCTCCTCCTCCTTGTCCCTGGGCTGGTGTGCCCATTTAGTCTCATTTTGTTTTATGGGCCTGTCTAATCTTTGACTGAAGGGTGAACCTCAGGAAGGACTTCAGTACTGAGCTAAAAGGGTGTCTGGGGGCCATACCTTCAGGGTTTCTCCAGTCTCTGTCAGACCAGTAAGTCTGGTCTTTTTTTGTGAGTTTGAATTTTCTGCTACATTTATCTCCAGCTCTGTCTGGGACCTTCTTTTGTGAAGAAGACTGTCAGAGTCTTGTTCTACTTTTTTCTCTAGCTCTGTCCAGGACCCTGTACTGTGATCCCTGTCAGAGCAGTCAGTGGTGGTAGCCGGACACCATCTGGTTGTGTTGGACTCAGTCTGGTGGAGACTGTGGTAGTTGTGGTCCATTAGTTCTTTGGACTAATCTTTCCCTTGTGTCTTTGGTTTCTTCATTCTCCTTGCTCCATACGGGGTGGGACCAGTAGAATATCTTAGATGGCCACTCACAAGCTTTAAAGACCCTAGGCGCTAAGGTAGGATGTAGAATATTTTCTTTATAAACTATGTTACGCCAATTGAGCTAGATGTCCCCTGAGACCATGATCCCAGTCCTCAGCCCCATAATTTGGTCTTACAGGGAGTTGGAAACCCTGGTGGTATAGTGGTTAAGTGCTATACCTGCTAGCCAAAAAGCTGGCAGTTCAAATCCACCAGGTGCTCCTTGGAAACTCTATGGGGCAGTTCTACTCTGTCATATAGGGTTGCTAGGAGTTGGAATCGACTTGATGGCAATGGGTTTGGGTTTTGGTTTTATGAAGCTTCCCTGACCTCGCCTTGGTCAAGGAGCAACAACATATTTGTTATTACAATCCAAGAAAACTATCAATTAATAAGAAAATCAAAAAGAGAAAAAAGATTCAATTACCTGCAAAATTTATCTCAAATTACTTTTAGGTTAAAGAGGAATGCAAGTTGAATTTGTAGAATTGCTTTAAAAGAATAATAATGAAAACATGGTATATCAGCATCTTTGGGATGTTGTTAGAACAATGTACAGAGGAAAATTCATAACTTTAAGTTTTATGTCAAGAAAAAAACGAATACAAATAATTCACTTAGGAATCTTAAAGAGTTATAAAAGAACAAGAAAATAAACCGAAATAAACTAGTAGCATGCAATTAATAAAGATAAAAGCTGAAATAATGGTTAGAAAACAGAAAAATAAAACCGTAACTTTGATACACAAAGCAAAATTGAAAAAAACAGTAATGTTGATACATATACCAAAAATCAATTTTATTGTGGTGGAGGGATTAGTTTAGAAAGCACAAGACAGTGTAACTATGAAAAAATAAAACATGAGGGAGGGACAGTCACAAAATAAGGTAAAGTAAGAACATCATAAGAGACAAATTGCTTAAATTAATTTAAAAACCTAGATGAGAGCAGTAATTGTCTAAAAGACTGTTACTCATTCAAACTAATTACAGAAGAGAAAAAATGAACCCAACTGGTTTTAACAGAAGAAAAAGAGAAACAGCTAAATCTCATAAAAGCAGGTGATCTCTTAGGAAAATTCTACCAACACTTTTCAGAGCAAATGATTCCAAGATTCCAAAGCTATTTAAACTATTCCAGAGCATAGAAAAAAAACAGACAAATTAAAAAAGGGTTGTGGCAGAGACTTTCATTATTATTATTATTTGTGAAACAAATATTATATTATTATTAAACCAAGTTAGAATTGCACACATGAAAAAGGAAAACACAAGCCAATCTTAAAAATATTATCACAAAATAACAAAACATTAGCAAACAGATTCTGACAGCACATTAAAATAATCATACATTTATGAACAGTGGGGTTCATTTCAGAAATGCAAGAAATGCTCTATATTATCAAATCTATTATTTGATACGATTCATTGTATCAATAAAGCTAGAGAGAAATCATAGGACCAACTCCAAAAACACTTTAAAAACATTTACAGCACTATGCAATTAATCTGGATTAAAAAACAAAACAAAAACTAAACAAAACAGTAACAAAAGATACTTAAAGTAATGAAATATATCTATTTTGGTCTAAAAGACTTAATGGAGAAACACTTGGTGCTTACGTGAATACCAAGATTTTGTAGATACAGAAATAGGAAAAGAGGAAATAAATTCTCACTGCTTTCAAATTATGTAATTTTGTACCTGGGATGAACATGATAATTTAGCAAGGTATTCTAGCAAAAAAAAAAAAAAAAAAAACGAGAAATCACTATCTGAAATTTAAAATTGCAACAGATTACCAAGAAATGAAAGATTACCAAGAAATATGCAAGATCTGCTTAAAGAAAATTTTAAAACACTACTGAACAAAAAAACCCCAAAGACTTGAACAATATTTAACATAAAAAGTCAATTC